ATGGACTGTTCCTCCAAAAAAGCACACACGTGTGCACGTGCACACACACACACATTATTTGTATTCACAAACTGGAATGCCACTTCAAGAGTTTCACAGACCCTCTGAAGTACATATGCTAACATCTGTATTAAAGAAGATATACTGCCTTGCCTATGAATATTTCTTACATTTTGCCAATTAAGTTCTCATACCAACTCTTGTATCTGTCAAGTACCATTTGTTTCAAACCACAATTTACTGAGCATCTACAATGTGCCAGCACCATGCCAGATATTAGAGATAGAAGAATAAACATTCCTCGCTTCAAGGAATGTAGAGTCTACTGGGGAATACATAAAGTTACAAGTATTTCCAATGAAACATGTACAGTAAGAGAGCTATTCATTAGGCAAAGCCGAGATACAAATTAAGGATTGATCAACTTTCCTTTACCAAGCGGTTGGGAAGAGTGAATAAACATTCTCAGGGATGTTATAGGTAGAAACTGTACCAGCAAAGGGAGAAAGGCATCATATAATGTGGCACCTATAGGAAGTCATACATGAGTCAAATATAGTTGGGTTAGAATAGTAATGAATGTAAGGAAGGGCTGAGACTCTTCCTTATTTGAGAGTGAGATTAAGAAAACAGTGTGGCTGGTGCAACCACTCTGGAAAACAGCATGGAGGTTCCTCAAAATGTTGAAAATAGAACTACCCTATGACCCAGCAATTGCACTACTGAGTATTTACCCTAAAGATACAAACATAGTGATCCGAAGGGGCACGTGCACCCGAATGTTTATAGCAGCAATGTCTACAATAGCCAAACTATGGAACGAACCTAGATGTCCATCAACAGACGAATGGATAAAGAAGAAGTGGTGTATATATACAATGGAATACTATGCAGCCATCAAAAGAAATGAAATCTTGCCATTTGCGATGATGTGGATGGAACTAGAGGGTATCATGCTTAGCGAAATAAGTCAATGGGAGAAAGACAACTATCATATGATCTCCCTGATATGAGGAAGTGGAGATGCAACATGGGGGACTTAAGGGGTTAGGAGAAGAATAAATGAAACAAGATGGGATTGGGAGGGAGACAAACCATAAGTGACTCCTAATCTCACAAAACAAACTGAGGGTTGCTGGGGGGAGGGGGGTTGGGAGAGCGGGGTGGGGTTATGGACATTGGGGAGTGTATATACTATGGTGAGTGCTGTGAAGTGTGTAAACCTGGCGATTCACAGACCTGTACCCCTGGGGATAAAAATACATTATATGTTTATTAAAAAAATAAATTAAAATAAATTAAAAAAAAACAGTGTGGACATAGAATACTGTAGCTGTTGGTCTGACAACAGAAACCGCAAAAGATTTCCTCCCAAACACTTCCTTTATTACCCTAAACCTACTCTTATTAAACACAGAGGAAAATATTTTGCCTGTTTTTTGTGCAACTGTCTGAAAATCCAGTGCTCAACATCTAAGGTTTAAAAAGTACTTTTTAATACAAACAACGCATTTAAGTCTGATGGCCCATTTTTAAGTGGAAGTATCAGAAAGCCAGTACATTAAGTATGACAATAATTTCTTCATAAAATTGTCTTGAAAAGCTAACTTACATGTAAAACTATGTCTTTTTAACACTCACTTAAAATAACCTCTTTCCAGCCTGTCAGTTAACACTTCAAATACTACCATCTCATGAAAATCATTTTGTTGTTTTGAATTTAGCCTCACTTTTTAAATGTAACTAAACATAATTGTTACTTTGAAGTCACTGGTTTAATTATAATAGAAGATGTGGAATTTTTGTAAAACATATGCCCCATATACTCCTATGGAAAAGGAATACACCCAGTTTTAATAACCCAATAAAGGTCTTTAATAGACTTTCAACCAAAGTACGAATACAATACTATAAAAGTAATATTTTTGTTACTATTTCCTCCTTGTGTGCTAAGATTGTACATACATTTTCTTTCTTTTGAAATTTTAATTTGTTTGGTTAGATATCTTCCATGTTTATTCCATTTCCTCAAAATAATACCCAAATCATATACATTGAGACCTACATGTATAGAACCACTTATATAAAAATACAAGTTGGGATTATAGAGTACTATGACTTGTTTTCTTGTGTGACTAGAAAAGAAAGGAAAAACAGGGTTTTGAAGTTTAAATATCAACCGACTGAAGTTGAATAAGCCAACTGAAGTTTATAAAGCTCTCAGCATGAAGGAAGGCCAGACTTAGTTTTTTTTTTTTTTTTTTTTTTTTTTCAAAGTACCCTTTGGATCTCTAGATGGCAACCCATTAAACACCAGTGAGCTTTGTCAAAATACTGGATCTTCAGGGGTATCTCAAAATAATAAAAAGATGTACTCTCATTGCAGGTCTAACAAACACATAGAACATGGTTCCCATCAGATTTATACTAAAGGAAGTATATGTATTTCTTTTTCATATGTATGAAAAAGAAATACAAAAGGAACAAGTTTTTTCTTTAAAATTTTCATGGAAATCCCAGTGAATCTCACAGGGGACAGGCAAAAGCACAAACAAGGATTTAGGTTAATAAATGTTTTTTTTTCCCCCTTCAGGGTGTTTTGTTTTGTTCTAAGAGGGGGAATCTTACAGCACTTTTTTTCCCCAAGTGGAAAAACATTATTTAAAGGAAGTTAAAACAAAAACTATAGTCAATAAATGAAGGGCTCAAAGATTTTCATGAAGTGGTTTGAAAATAAATGCTCTGTGACATCTCACATACTTCCAACAACTCTGACCACATTAAAAAAAAAAGTAAATCAACAAATCTACAATAGGTACAAATTATATACATTTATTTTTTTAATAATTTTAAATAACACTCTTGTATAAATTCTTTTCATATATTCAAATCATACACAAATTTAGAAATGCATCATGAAGCCTAGTACAGCATATGTAGGAGACACGTTTTTAAAATTTGTGTTAGAATTTTAGTGACATACAGATGAGTTTAATGTTTCAGAAACATTTCCTAATCGCTCAGGCTGACATGTAATGCAGGACAGAGTGCGTGTGCCTAGCATGAGAACTCAGCTGCAGATCATGGGCTCTGGGCTAACATAGCTCACGTTGTCACCCCCGCTGCGGTGACTGCATATGCAGAAGGAACCAGGAAGAGAGACTCCCAGCTGCCTTTGGAAAAGCATCATTCAACCACTGCCACCTTAACGATCCATAACATAACCTTCAGTCCATTTGACGTTGTTTGACATCTTCGGATGAACCAGGGGGCTCTTCCTGCTTTTCACTCAGCATAGTCACATGCTCAGTTTAAAGAGGAAAATTGTCGCTAACCTTCCATCACTCCCCTGCACACAGCAAACTCCTGTTAGTTCTCAAACCCCATACTGTCCAAGATCATAACAGACCATAAGTTCTTTGCGGATGAGGCCAGAAATGCTCTCCTTGCTCTGACAGGTTACGCTGGGTTGCTTTTTACTTCTCTGAACTTTCTGTCGGAGAGCTTTCCTTGATGCGTAGATTCAACTCCTACCCACACACCTCAAAGTATAAGAACTAGGGAATGTTCATTACCAGTGCTGTTATGTTCACCGTGTGTCCTACAAAAAACAGAGGACCAAGGTGAATGATCTAATAACCTTGTCCCAACTGAGGCTCTTAGGAAGATGTACTATTGCTTTAGCTCTCTGCCTCCAAAACAGCATGAGAAGGGTAAATGTCCAGAAGGCACTGGCTGACCAAAATGAACTAGTGGGGCACTGAGTATTGCTTTACTGACCAATTTTCTGGGGATGTTAGGGCTAGAGAGCAGCCATGTAATCGGACACTTGGACAAATCCTCTCCCCCCAGATCTCTCTCTTCCCATCCCACATCTGCTCTGTTCTCTCTTCAAATGCAGGTGCCCCTAAGAGTAGAAACACATCAAATCCATAGGACCTTGTATAAGCGAGCTTTAGTTTTTATTACCAGTTTTCTCTATACTTGGAGAAATTCCATTGATAAAAGACACCGGGGAGCTTGACGGTGCAGGGAAGGAGGGGAAAATAAGAGAGGATAGACATAGATATAACAACACTACCTAGGGCATCTGTCAGAAATGAGTCAAGGTTTATGAAAATGAATGAATGAAGATATAATTATCACCTAATAGCAGTATCTGTCATTTATCAATAAGATTCACACTCGCCTTATTTGAAAATAAACACATCTCTAATCCTTATTTAAAAATTCTTCCAATATTATCTCTCTAAAGGAGAGGTGGGATCCCGGTGCTGAACACCATAGTTCATGGAGATCCTGCTTTCAGAGGAACAAATATTGTGTAATGCATATTCCCGATTAGTTTCCTAGCCTGATTTTGCTGGTAGATCACTTCATGATTGATTTAAATTCTACAGCAAAATTATTTTCCCCAGCAAAAAGCAGGGGACACTAAAGAATTTTGTTTAAAACAAATTTTAAGACCTTAATTTTTTTTTCTACTAGAAAGAATTAAGAACATGACCTAGGAGCTGTTAATAAGTACTTAGAGGTTAACGTTCCTTGTGATTCAATGTTTGCAATATCTCTTAAGGTCTGTTTCCAAAAAAATCTCTATATGGCCAGAATCTGGACTATTTGGTTTTGGCTCTTAGACCCCGACAAACACTCATGCTTTCACTATTGGGTTAGCATCTACTTAACAAATGTTTTTTCCTTACCACCCCAATCCGTCATGTTGTGGGGGTGGGGGGCAGCAATCTGGGAGAGAGGCAGGTACGCCAGTTTACACACTTCTTGGAACTGTGCAGTGCCCAGTCTGTACGTGCACAGGGGGCAGCTGCTGGGGAAAGCACATTTCCCCCCTGTTGCTTGGGAGGATTAGTTCACTTTAATGAAGGACAAACTGGTAGTTCTGTTTTCTTATCACCAATACCAGCTTCAGATAGTAATCCTCCTGTGTCCTTTTCACAGTATCTTTCCCAGCTGTACGGTCAGGGACTATAGACAGAAGGAGTCACAGACAGGACTCTTCCCCACAGCCTTCTTTGTCTGTGGCTAGGCGGTTTTTGCATTGGCATATACTTGAGAGAACATGTGCTTCAGTTACGAGACCTAATCCCAAGCCTGATAATGACATACAGTATAGCCTTGAATAAGACATTTAACCTCATCTATACAATGGGGACAATAATTACTTCCTCAGGGGGCTATGGTGAGGAACAGAGGACACATATATAGAAAGGTGCTTTGTGAACTGCAAAGGCTCTAGCAACATTCACAGATTTTAATACAATGTAATGTCACTAACCTCTACTCTCATGAGCAATGGCCAAATATTCAGAGCACCTCGGGTTACCAAAAGTCAATTATCTGTCTGTCCTTCCTCCAGAACATCATCTCTAAAACCTGAGAAAACTTAGGGGTGTCCTATAGAGGGATGACCAAATTCCAGGTTTTTCTTGGGGGGAGTTGAGCAAGGCTGTCAACTTGGATTTCCTAGGTCAGATCTAATAAATCTTTGCTTTTTCTCTAACCATTTGACAGTTTGCTGTTCCTAATAAATATCGTATTTGACTTCTTGCTGCTTGTCGTGGCTTGCTTAACCCATAGTCAGTATCATAACAGATGAGAGCAACAGTACGTGGCCTCTAGGGAAAAACCGTGTCTGAAAGCAAGGATGTAACTGTACCCACCCACCTCCAGAGCTACCCTCTAACTGGACAAGAAGATAGCAGAACTGTAGCTCTGTAGGAACATGGTACACACCTCATCTGGTGTGTACCTGGCATCTGGGTGATAAGCTTTCAAATGTAGAAGGTATTTTTTTAGAGAAGGATGGAGGAAGAATATAAATATTTCACAGGCATGAAAACAGGGGATCCCAAGTGATAGGATGGCTTTTCTTTTGGAACTAAAATATTTCTAATTCCTTTGGAAGACTATCTTTTACATTTAGAGACTTTCTTTTTTCATGAGGCTATGTTCTACATTAATCTATGTAAAATATGCAGACTGGTTAATGTCTAATCGGGGGAGTCCTTTGGAGAGTGCAGTCTCTGTCCCAGCTTCACAATCAATGACTTAAAAATCTATTGCTTGTATCTATAGTAAGTCAGAGAACATATAACTCTACTTTGAGACTGAGAAAGGGAAAGAAAAGTTAGAAACATTCAACCTCTTATAAATTTCAACAGTGTCCAAAGAGGGACTAAAAATGACTGATGGTCACCAGAGTCCCAGCTCTAGCAATATTGCCATCTATGTTATGCTATTTTAACCAATCCCATATTTTCTTTTTACAACACCATTAACTGCTGTACAAATAAATTCTAGATGATAAAATATGACATGATTTTTTTTTTACAAATAGATACAAATACAATGTTGACCAGATATGCTACATTAACTATATACACCTTATTTCTCTAGAGGCAGGAAGAGTCCTTATTTTTAGACAATTTACCATTTACACTGAGCCCTAAGGAGGACCATCAGCTTCCTGCTCCCAGATGTTGCCTTCATCTTTCTACCATTAGAAGTTTATCCTGTGCTTTGATCCTGTCATCGAGCAAGAATTTAGGAAGGAAAAATCAGCCTTTCTAAAGATCTTCTTGAGACTCTTCTGTCCTTATTTTAGAAATAATTGAGATTGTTTACTGAGATATGGCCCAGACATTAAACTTTCTTCAGTGATGTCTTTTAGCACAGTAAAAGGAATATCATCCCTGACTCTCCTTTTTAAAAAAGGTGTCTCGGGAATGGAGATGAAGTCTTCGGGCAGTCCTTCCCTCTCCACTTCCATCCTGTTTCCGCTGGTTTGGTGAACACTTCCCCAGGAGTCCATTCAGAGGTCAAAGGAGATGTGGGCTGTACTGTGGGATTCAGCCTTTCTCTACTCCCATGTAGTTTGGTACAAAAATATCCTTTACTACAAGTCCTTATTGACAGCGACTGCTTCAGATCTTCATGGGGGAAATTAAGAGTAATGGGCTAAGTGCATTACAAATTTGTACCTGAAAATTTCAGATGCTCTCTATGCCTTTGCAAACTCTACCCAGACCTCGTCTGGCCTAGGAGCTGATGCTGTCTTAGTGAGCACTGTGTTCTAACAATCCAGACAATGGTTCTAGCTCCTTAGGCTTTGTAGTTATGTATGGGAGTCGTCAGGGTCAGTTGCCCGTTGGGAGCCACTTCATTACCATCATCTTCCAAGAGTCCTGACACATCTGCATTGGGAATGCTGTCATGGTAGCTGCTGAAACTGATATTGTCTTCTTTTAGCTCGATGGTCCAAAAGGGGGCATTGAGTTTCCGGTTTTGGTACTCCCGGTACATATAGACAGCCCCCACAAAGCCCATCAGCAGCACCACCACAATGATGATGACTGTCAAGATGATGATGTTAAACTGGGTCCATGAAACATCAGCTAACGCTGATGTGCTGTTTTCAGCAGAGCTTACTGAAAAGATAGTCTGCAGGGTTGTGGGGGTAAATGTACTATTTATAACAGGGGTGGGCACTGATGTGGTCAAAGAGGCATTGGAAACCAAAATGGTAGAACCTTCAGGTGTTGGAACAATAACTTCTGAAAATAAAAACAGAGAATGAAATGTAAAAGACAAAATTATCTAGTTTTAAGAAACAATAAAAGAAATACACATGGGAGTGGAAGTTGATATGGGATGTTGACATGATATTCTGCTTTAAGGTAATGCAAGTTAAAAATAATTTTTAAAGAAATATAGTGAAAAGAATCAAGGTCTAGAAAGCTAGATTATTACATTCCATGGCTGTTCTCCATAATGTATAATATTAAATCTTTGGAAAAATTCTGATGTTGGAATTCCCTACCCTTCTTGTTTCTTGGATAGATTCATAGACATTCCTGCAAACAGTAAATACATCATTATTGAGTCCTGAGTCACTTGGGTAAAAGTGACAGGGATGAAAAGGCAATTATTTGAACTAAAATAACTTCAACATGTCTAATGGCGTTTCATAAGGGTGAAATTCTCTTCAAAAGAGGAAAAAACAGAATAAGGAAAATTGTATTTCTAGTCACTTCTGAAAAACACAATTTAAATGTCCAAAGTTGATGTCAGCCAAGAGAAAACACAGCCTTCCTTTAATCATGTGTAGTAATTCTTCCTTTGTGTAGATCATTGATGATTTCATAATTAAAGTGTTACTGTGACACAGCCCAGTAGAAATACCCAAAAAAGGCTTGGGAATCAAGTAGATCTGTGTGACTATAGATGAGTAAGTGAATCTTGTTAACACTGAGGCTCCTCATCTGTAAAATGGGAATGATAATACCTACATTGCGGAGTTCCTGGGAGGGTTAGCTGAGACAGTGTGCTATGGAGCGTTACTGCATAGAACGTTCCCAGGGCTCGGCGCATCCTAGGCACTTGATAAAATGCTGCTGTTGTCATTCTAATTCATCACCACAGTCAGACACATTAATCTGTCGCCAAAAGAGGCATTTTTGTTTTTTTACATTATCTAGTAACTAAAAAAAAAAAAAAAAAATCATCATGGTCCTATCAGCTAAGTATGAATGAAGCATGCTTCCAAATGTCACTAGCTCTCCAGGCTAGTGACAGCATTCTAGCTCTGTCTCTTAGCCTTGATCACAACAGACTAAGGATATCAAGAAAATGGCAGAGGGACGACACTTGCCACAGACCATCAACCCAGTATTCAGCATCTGTCAGGATGTCAAAGAGTGGTTTCTAGAAGATCATGGTCTAATCGCTCTGTGACCCAATAAAGCTTGAATATCTCTAACTCATCCTGAATCTCTAATCATCAATTTTTATCTAAACCTTTACAGACCTTAACTGCAAGAAACATTTTGCCATATGAGTAACTTTTTCTTTTAAAAGTCAAAAGGGATATTATTATTCTTTTCTCTTTCCTTCACCATCCATGGGAAAACTCAAGCCCAAAGTGAGAGCAGAAGCCACGGTGGACTCTTGTTTCTCAGCTGGAACTTCTGACCAGATTATAGGTCCCTACTTCCAAAGACCTTTGATCGTCCCTGGGAGTGATGAGAATATAGGAAGGAAAGGATAAAAGAAATGATAGGACTTTTATTAACATAAAAATGAAAATAGATGAAGAGAAAATGTGGGAACCCTGCAATGACTTTGTCGTGGGCCTCAGATTTCTGGAGTTGACTCTGGAGCAGCAGGGGAGCAGCGGGAATAGAAGGAAATCCCTTTGGGCAAATATCTATCAAAATCTATTTCCAGAAAACTCCTCTGGTGGGATCGGAAGGTTTTATAAAGCTAAAGGTAGGTGTCCTGAACTTTTCACTGCTAGGCTTAGATATTAAATGTACCACCTTAGGTGAAGTTTTACCTTTCTTGATGCAATTTCCCTCGAGGTCTCGGACATAGCCTTCGAGACAGTTCTCACACCAAAACCCAGTGGTGTTATGGAGGCAGCTGATGCATTCACCGCTCTCGGGCTTACAGATCTTTGGAGTTGTCATTGGGTCCACATGGCCATGACACTGGCACTGGGTGCAGATGCTGTCAGAATTGTAGTAGCCATTTTCACACATGTTGCAGTTCTGGCCTGTGTAACCATCTTTACACTGGACACACTCAGGTTCCAATTTACCCAATTCTAAAAGTGAGAGAACACCAAAGTAATTCAGCACAGCCCCAAGCTACAGTTAAAAATGCAAAAAACTACTAGTCCTCAAAATGGTTTTTAAACCTTGCCTACCTGCCTCTCAAACTTAAAGAGACTAATGATCTATAGCTCATTTCTTAATTCTTAATTATCCAGTTTATTGTAAAAATGATGAGGGCCCACCCAGGTAGAGAACAGAAGAAATATGCTTACATAAGGAATACGAATAATTGTAATGATGAGATACTTGTGATTTTTTTATTGCTTCTTTAGTCCTGACAGATGAAATAAACATGACTTTAACAAAACTTCCTCATCTCTCCCGTAAGTCTCATTTCATATATGTATTTGGATTTGGCTGCAAATCCCTAGAAAGAAAAACCTTTGCTGTTTTTATAATGCCCCTTCACCTCCTCTCACCCTGTTCTCACTCCTCTTCGCCCAGAACTTCATTTTTCAACACACTTGAGAGGAACTGATAGCTGATTGCCTGGTTTTTCCTCTCAAAATGAATAATTTGAGGAAGGCCTTACTTAAGACACAGCTGCCTGTCGATGTCACTGCTGAACAAGGGCAGCGAAGACACTCTTTCGTGGCACCAGGACTCAGATAAAAACCTTCTTTGCATTCTTCACAGTGATCCCCTTTGCTATTTTCCTGGCAGTTTAAACAAGCACCTAAAAGAAGCAAATTATTTTAAGTAGTTAAAGATTTACTCTGAAAGCACAATAACTGTAAATAAATTATACCTGTGACCAAAAGACCTTATGAGTTCACCGGAAGAAGTGATCTGACAGGAATTAGATAGAGTTCAGTTTCTACCCCATCTTATTTCTACATTGGCCACGTCTGTGAGGTCTGTGCCCCTTCTAGATTGTAAACTCTAGGGAAAGCCTGGTTACATGAGTAGAGAGCACTAAGCCTGGGTTGATGGTTAATTACATATGGAAAGCAGGCCAACTTTTTTCAAATTAAAAATAAAAACAATCTAAAGACCTACTTAAAAAAATAATAAATGACATACTATTTTCATAGTTTGGATGCTATATTTAAATAAGTGAACTAGACCTATATGTATGAATATGCATGAATCTTGAAAATGATGTTGGTTGAAAAAAGCCAATCACAGAATGATAAAAAACAGATGAAGAGTACTTCTTTATTGTGTAAAATTTTAAAAAACATACTGGGGCGCCTGGGTGGCTCAGTGGGTTAAAGCCTCTGCCTTCAGCTCAGGTCATGATCCCAGGGTCCTGGGATCAACCCACATCGGGATCTCTACTCGGTGGGGAGCCTGCTTCCGCTTCTCTCTCTGCCTGTCTCTCTGCCTACTTGTGATCTCTGCTTGTCAAATAAATAAATTAAAAAAAAACATATTAAACAATACTAAGCAAATGGATACAGAATATACTAGGTAAATGGATACATACATACGATATGCAGTAAAAATTAAATGTGGACTGAGGAGGTATAGGGGAATTATATGTTCTGCTTATCTTTGTGGAGGGAAGGAGAAAAAACTAGGGGAAAAAAGAGAGGACTCCAATTGTATTTCAAATTTGCTATTTCAAATATGTAACTATATATAATATGTATAGATATTAGGCAAAATACCAAAATGTTAATATTTATTATTTCCAGATGTAGGTACATGAGTATGCATTATTTTATTCTCCATACATTTTTATATTTAAAAAATTAAAGATCAAAGTAAAAACAATTAATTAATAGGAGTGCCTGTTGTCTCAGTCCGTACAATGTGTGACTCTTAATCTCGGGGTCATGAGTTTGAGCCCCATGCTGGGTGTAGAGATTATTTTAAAAAAAGTAAATAAATAAAAACTTAAAAAAAAATGGGGCTCCTGGGTGGCACAGTGGGTTAAACCATTGCCTTCAGCCCAGGTCATGATCTCGGGGTCCTGGGATTGAGCACTGCATCAGGCTCTCTGCTCAGCGGGGAGCCTGCTTCCCCCTCTCTCTCTGCCTGCCTCTCTGCCTACTTGTGATCTCGCTCTCTATCAAATAAAAAAATAAAATCTTAAAAAAAAAAACTTAAAAAAAAAAAACAATTAGTAGAGGAAATGAAAAGGAATGAGGAACAGCAAAGTGATGTGTTTTGTAGTAATCCTCCTATGGTACCCTATTAGTAAGGATATTGTCCTGGCACTGAAGCAGCATAGTGTCTGAAAACAGAAGATGAAAAAGTGAAGTGTAATTAACATCCCTTCTGTAAGGGGCCACAAAGATGCACAGAGACTCTTCCAACTGCCATTATTGGAATAAGTGAGAAAATATGACATAGAAACCTAAGACAATGAAAATTCACATGATCAGCCAAAAACCATTCAATACCAAAACTATTCATAAACAGTTGTATTTGATTTCTTTTTGTTATGAGTAAAATATTTACAAAAAAAGGAGAGAGAGACTGAGGTTGTGAAATAAAATGGTCTGACAACTGGATCAAAATTTGAAAAACCAAATAATGACAATGTTATTAACACACATGGCACATCTAAATTCTTAAGTGATTACAACAGAGTTCCCCAAACTTCATGAACAGATGGGGAAAGACAGGTTCAAAAGCTTATCACCTAAACAATTAACTTTGAACTGAATCAAACTCGCATGCAAATGTTGCTTTCAATCATATAATTTTTTTAAGATTTTATTTCTAAGTAATCTCTATACCCAACATGGAGCCTGAACTCATGACCCCAAGATTGAGAGTCGCCTGCTCTGCTGGCTGAGCCAGCCAGGTGTCCAGTCATATAACTTTTTAAGGCCTGCTAGTGTTAATGATAATTTTCACATATATAACAAAGTGGTAGTATATTCTCATATGGTGCTAAACACATGAGGTACTGATATCTTTCCAGATCTTATATCCTGATTCCCTTCAGCTATGTATCTTTGCGACAATAAAAATAGCTGAAAAATACATACTAAGAAACTGCAAACTGTGGATTTTAGCTCTACAAATAACATAATCTTTTGTTTGTTGTTTGTTTAGGGAGGAAGGAGGAGAGGCGGAGGGAAAGGGGGAGAGAGAATCTTAAGCAGGTTCCATGCCCAGCAAGGAGCCCAACACAGGGCTCCATCTCACAACCCTGAGATCATGACCTGAGCCAAAATCAAGAGTTGGACACTCAACCAACTGAGTCACCCAGGCGCCCCAACAGATAAGATAATCTGAAATGTTAAAGTGTTTTGCAGTTAGGAAAAATCAAAACCTGCATTATGTATAAAATGTGGCCACGTGCTCGCCCCTTATTAAAAATGTGCAATGGAAATAATTTTTAAGAAAACAAGTTCTGATAAAGTCCTGAACTTTCAAAATATGTTAATAGTCCTCTGAGAGAATATGGATGTTTGAGGAAAGAAGTGTTCCAATAACATGCCATTTGCATGTGACTAATGGGGCAAGAACAGGTCATATCACTATTCTTATTTAAAAATGATAAATACATATACTGTTAATATCTTGCTTCTACCATGCTATTGGGCTTACATGCTTATTGTTTGGGGGCTTTTTACTATTTTAGATAAAATCTCAAGACTTGGCGCTTATCACAATATCATTCTGTTCTTTTAAACCATTTATATTAGAATATAATTTTTTTAGAAATTATAAAATTTATAACAATTAAACATTTTTCCAGAAGAATTTATTTCTGTTTGTTTTATGCCGTTCCCTACAATGAGAAGTCAATGAGAAAAAATAACCCTACGTGGTAAATTGTCTCAAAAGGAAAGATGAAAACTTTACTCAAAACGTAAGATGAAAACAAGTCTAATAATAAGACTCATTACTTGACACTGCTTCAAAAAAAGTATGCACCTGGAACACAGCCACAGAGAAAAAAAATTAATACATTACGACAGATAGACATAAATACAGCAGAGTGCTAACAGTAGCTGTGAGGGCAAGTCCTTTTGGTTTCTCCCCTCTAATTTTCAAGTAGCTGGTCTGCATGTACCCTTTTTTTGTTGCTGTCTTGATTTTTTTTCCTGATTACAAAACTAATACACTATAAACTATCACATGCATATTATAAAAATATTTCAAGAATGTAAGCAAGTTTAAAACATTTCATGAGAAACTTGGAGGAAATGTTTTTATAATAACAATAAAGATCATAGCCTTTCAAACCCACATCCCGTAGGAACTGATGGTGTGGATTCGCCTTTCTAACAGCTTATAGTTCCTCTTGAGGAGGCAAGAGAGCATAAGGAACCTGGTTTTTAATGTCAGATCTGAGTTCCACTCCCAATGGAACCTCTTACCAGTATGAGACCTTCAGGAAATAGCTTCTCTGACTCTCATTTTTCTAATCTGAAAAGTGGGATAATTCTTGGGCTAATGATTTAATGTAACATGAGTATTTCAAAGAGTGAAAAACTATTCCATAAGACAAATATTCTCTCTTTATGTTTCAATTTCCTCATCTATAAATTAAGAAAGCTGCACTGGATGAAATCTAAGTTCCCATTAAAATCTAAAAGTTGAGGGTCTCTCTTTTATGATAAAAGATATGTAAAATTTAGCTCAAGTTTAATTTTATTATACTTTGCCGGCAACCTCCCAAAATACAATAATACTGTCTTAAAATTCACATTCTCTTTGTTGAAAGATGGCCAAAGGAGCAGATTACCAATTTAAAAAAAAAGAAAGAAAGAAAAAAAGAAGTGAGTGTTTCCTGAAGATGATCTCATGCTCGCTGGCTAGGCAGCAAACCAACCTGGTAGGGGTAACCAGGAAGGCAACCAGTCAAAGAAAAGAATGTGGAGCTCCTTTCCAACCAAATTCAATGCAACACTTTGAAAACATAAATTGCCACCTGTAAAAAGACTTGTCCTTATTTATTTTGTCATTCCATAGTTTATATATAAACCTGTCAGAAATACAGCAATGTGCTTTGTTGTGGGAAGAAATGCTTGATCCTCCCTATAGAGGAGAAGGCAAATTTTAACTGTCAAAAAGAGAGAAAGCCAAGCCCAAGTGAACAAGGGAGAGTAATAGAAGATAAAGTCAGAGAGAAAGGCAGGGGCCACAAAATGTAAAGTCATGCAGGCTATAGAAAGAAGTCTGAATTTTACTCCAGGAGGGATAGGAAGCCGTCCAAGGGTTTAAGCACAGGAATGACGTGATGTGGTTTTACATTTTAAAAAGATCACTCTGGTTGTTCTGTGGAGACTGGACTGTATTGGGGTGGAGCTCTGGTGTGAGAGGATAAGAGAGGAGGCAGAGAGATAAGATGAGGTCAGAGAGTGGCACAGTAGTTCAGAGATGACAGGGGCTTGGACAAGGATGACAGTAACAAAGGTCATAAACAGTGGTCAGATTCACAGTGTATTTTGAGTGCTGGGCTGATAGAACTTGCCGATGGATTGGTTATTTGCAGTGAGTAAAAGAAAGGAACCAAATATGACTTCTAGGCTTTGGACTGCGCAACTGGCTAAATGGTGTCAGTCACCAAAATGAACACGAGGAGTAAGGCAGGCTTGGTCTACAGGGTAAAATAAAGAATTGTTTTGGATATCTTGGGGGTTTGATGCCAGTTGAGGCATTCAGACGAAGATGTCCAATATACTATTAGATCTTTGAGTGTAAAGATCAAGGGAGAAATATAAATCTGGTAGTGAGCACAGACGTAGATGGCATTTTAAATTAAATCCAGGGGACTGAATGAGATCACTTAGGGGACAGTATAAATGGAGAAGACAAACGTGTAAGATTTATTTATTTATTTTAGAAAGAAAGAGAGAGAGAGCACACATGCAGTGTGGGGAGGTACAGAGGGAGAGGGTAAGAATCCTTAAGTATATTCCCCACTGAGCATGGAGAATGACACAGGTCTTGGTCCCAGGATCCTAAGATCATAACCTGAGCCGAAACCAAGAGTGGGATGCTTAACCAACTGAGCCGCCCAGGTGTCCCAAGAAGAACAAAAATAAATAAATCTTCTAAAAAAAAAAAAAGAAAGAAATATACCATGTGAACATAAAGTTCTAGTTTGAAAAAATAATAGCCTCCCCACCTCCATTTTAAAGTAAATATATACTCAATAAAGAAAATCTAGAAAATACAGGAGAGTAGAAGAAAAAAAAATCACCATAAGAAATATGTCACTAAGATTTTGAATACTTTTCCTGGAAAACTTTCCTTACGTATAGAAGTTTAAGTTTTGCTTTTCAAATAGTCTAACTATATGGCCATGTCATTTCACACCCTGCTTTTTTCACCCTCTCATGTTGTTATATACACCACTCTTTAAAAAATTTTAATGACAACCTAATAGTTGCTATTTGTTGATTACTCATAATAAGCCAGGTACTGTATTAAATATTTTATAAATAATATTGCACTGAGTCATTACAACAACCCATTAGACAGTTACTGTTATTATCTGCATTTCTACGCGAAGATACAGGCTACGTAATTTGGCCAAAGTAAAGACAAGATTGTACTTGCTGTGCTCTTAACCACGTACTGTCTAGGTAACATAATTGGCTTCATTCTCTGTTGATAGAAATAGGGTTGTCTAATTTTTAGAATTATAACTACCACTTTAGTAAGCTTCTTTGAACATAAAGCTTTTTATGAATTTAGAATTATTTCCTCAGATTTCTGGAAACAAAATTACTGGATCAAGGAGATATTCTGAAGACTGCAATACACATTGTGGAACCGTTTTCCAAAGTGTTTTTCCCCAGTATATTTTATCACAAAAAGGTTGCTTTAAAATCTGGTTCATCTAAAACACAAGGTCTAGAAAAAGACTAGAAAAGGGAAACGTTTAAGGACTGTGAAAACATAGTAAGTGGCCACCAGAGGGCAGTCGTATCACAGCGCTGTTGAAAAATCTTTGAGACAAAAGGAAAGGCTGATTATATATTAAGCTTGCAGGTTTAAATTAAGTACTTGCATCCCTTCGTGTTGAGTTCCACTTTTATTATATTTCCAAACAGAGAAACTGTTTATTTCTCTTATTATTATCTGCTTTTAGAAGTCATAACCATGGAAAGGATATCTTTTGCCTTAAATTATCTTGAGCAAGGACAGGTTGGGAGTTACTTGACATTAAAGACAGCTACCTCATTGCTGCAAGCAAAACTAGCAGTGAGACCCAGCAGTGTAGACCACCTTCTTACTGTATAAGACCTACGGAGAAATATAAATCAACTCAGTATGAGGAAGTATTCCTGTGCTTAAACAGGACTGAAATTTATCTTTCCGCTGTGTGTTTTTCCATTCGTTTGTTCATTCACCTATGCACTATTCACCTAACAAACATGTGAGTACTGACTACATGCCAAGCGCCATGCTAGAGACTATGTACAATGATGAACAAAACTGATATTGCCCCTGTCCTCACGGAACTTACAATGTAGTGATTATGCCACACATGACTCATAATCACAAATACATTCATAATTATAAACTATGATAGGTATTGTAACAAAAAATACAAGTGCGTATGCCAGTGTATAATTGGGGACTGTCATTCAGCATGGAGTATCAGGAACTGCTTTCCAATGTAGTAAACTTTAACTGAAGGCCTTAAGGAAAAATGATAAGGCAAAGGGGCTAACGGTGGGGTAGAGGTATATTAGAAAGACCGTTCTAGGCAGAGGAAAGATCATGTATGTAAACCTTAGGACAAGGAAACTTATCTTGTTTAAGGGATAGAAGCCAGTATGACTAGATCACAGGCAGTTGAGAAAAAGAATAGTACAAGAGAGAACCAGTAAGTAGCCAGGGACCAGATCACATAACAGAAAAAAATAACACAATTTCTCCTAAATCAATTTGTTTCACCATGGACTAGAGGAGAAAAATGAAGAATTTCAAATGCTTTCCAGGGTACTTTCAATTTCAAGTACTCTACCCTGTTCTCATAAAAATACTTGTACTTGTCAGACTAGTTTGTCCTGACTTTTCTGTTGGGAAAAAAAGATTTCCAAAGAAGAGCTTCTATTCCTTATATTTAGGAAACCTGACCATTGGAAAATTCATTGTCTTTATAGTTTTCCTCAATATGGTTTTCTTTGTGGGTTTTGTTTTGTTTTTTTTTTTAACTGCCTGGGGTTTGCTGAGATTTCGGAATTGATGGGCTGATGTCTTTCACCAGTTTGGAAAATTCTTGGTCATTATCTCTTTAAATTTTGCTTCTGCCCCGATCTTTCTCTCCTTTCTTTCTGAGTCTCCAATTACATTTATGTTAGTCTTTTTGGCTGTGTCCCACATGTTCCTTCCTGCTCTTTCTTTCCATTGCATTTTTCCCCCTCTGTGCTTCAGTTGCATATTTTTAACTGAGCTGAATTCAAGTTTGCTCACCTTATCTTCACTGTGAATAATCTTTTGTTAAACCTATGCAATGAGTTATTCATTTCAGATGCTGTATTTTTCAGTTATAGACTGACCTTTTGAATTTTTATAGATTCCAATTCTCTTGAAATTTGCCTCTTTTACCTATTTTCTGGGTTTTCCTCTATTTTCTTAAAACATTAATTTTAGTTATTTTAAAGGATTGTTTGCTAACTCTAAAATCTGGATCATCTGTAGGTCTGCTTCCATTGTTTCTTTTTTCTCTTTATTATTGGTCATATTTTCCCTCCTCAGCATTGTCTAGCATTTTTTTTTAAAGATTTTATTTCTTATTTATTTGACAGAGATCACAAGTAGGCAGAGAGGCAGGCAGAGAGAGAGGAGAAAGCAGGCTCGCTGCTGAGCAGAGAGCCCGATGTGGGGCTCGATCCCAGGACCCTGAGATCATGACCTGAGCCAAAGGCAGAGGCTTAACCCACTGAGCCACCCAGGCGCCCCTAGCATTTTTTTTTTTTTTAATGCCAGATACAGTGTATAAAAAAGCCATAGATGACTGCTTTTTTCTCTGTTAGGCAGATATAATGAGAGAATAACCTAAATCCAATTTGAAATTGAGATGGGTTGAAGATGGGTTACAATTTTAGTATGAGCCAGTTCACCTATGGTTTGGCATTATTTCTTGGTCATGGCCTTCTAATGCTTTTGACCAAGAGCCTAGCATCCTGAGTCTCCTCAGCTCTGAGAGACTACAACAGACTCAGTACTGCCTTTTGGTGGTTTCACACCAGGTCCCACTCCACACACTTTAGAACCTGGTAATGTCTTGAAAGAGAGATGGTGGTATATGGTAACAGGGCTTCTCTCTTTCTAAAGGGATTTTGTCTCCTAAGAATGCAAGACTTAGAGACTTCTTTATACCTTTTGGGCCAGCCTCTCATCTCTTGCACAATCAACTAATGTCCTGTGGGAAAACTGGCCTTGTATTTAGGGCTCCTCTAGGTTCTAATCCATCATACAAGTCCCAAACAACTGCCAAAAACTCCTCTTGGATCTCTTTCCTCAAGAATTTCTTTGCTTGGGCTAAATCTGCTCTTTAGCCTATGACCAGAATCAGCAAATGTCCCCTGGAAATAAAATGGCTAATGGTCATCCACTTACTTAAGAAGAGTTCTACCCTTTCCGGAATTTTAGTTCATATTGTCTTCTTTGCTTCCATAGTTCTCCAACCAATATGATTTATGAAAAGAACAAGAGACTAATTACATAACAAAGTTAAAGAAAGTGTGTACCTGTGAGGGCATCACAACTGGCAGACCGATTATTACATCGGCAGGGCAAGCAGCCACTCTTACTAAAGTCATAATATCCATCTTGGCATCGATCACATGTAGAGCCGGTGACACCCACTTTGCACTGGCATTTCCCAGAACTGCAAATAAAAGCAAAGACAACGAACAAAATAAATGAGTTTGAAAGTTTTGTTGCCTAACATCCCATCATAGATTATCTTAATGTAGAAATAGTTTCAACTAGATTCTAACTACTAGGATTATTATGATTTCGTTTGAATTGGAAGTTGATCAACTTCATGAGTATATGCATTCAATTGACATACTAACACTTATCATTTGTGACAATTTAATCCTCTGCACTAAGGTAGTTTAAAATAATTGATAAAGGAGCTATGGAGAACATAAATCCCCAGTGCTTAGAAATCTTTGTTTGCTAAACAGTGGGGCATAGAACTGGTACCATTACTACATCTCACCCCTAGATTATTCCACAGTTCCATCAGTATCCACCCTGCCCAATATAGAGAAGAGAAGAAACTCCACCTTGTCTTCACCCAACTAGCTTCTGGCTGAAGAATATGAAGGCAAAGATCTTAATAAATATGTCAATTCTTAGCCATTTAGATGCTGAAAATGATATAATTTTCTACTTTAGGTCCAGGTTATATTAAAATTATATTTCTGGTAATTAAACTAGAATTCATAATTCAGCAAATATGACTGTAAGGGGGACACTTCTTGCTTTCTGGCTTAAATCCATATAAAAGTCTAGACTGTCAACCCAAAAAGAAGTCTAAAATCTGAAGTAAGAAAAATAGGGGTAGTCGGCACTGGCTCGGTCAGTAGAACATATGACTTTTGGTTTGGGGGTTGTAGGTTCAAGCCCATGTTGGGTATAGAGATTACTTAAAAATAAAATCTTTAAAGATAGAAAGAAAGAAAAGAAAAGAAAAGAAAAGAAGGAAGGAAGGAAAGAAGGAAGGAAGGAAAGAAGGAAGGAAGGAAGGAAGGAAGGAAGGAAAAAATTTATTTAACAATGTGACTCTTCTTTATATGCTTATTCTGAACCTAAAATTTTTAGACTTCACCTGAGCATATCTTGGCACCAGTCATATTGGATGGAAAACTTTTAAGGTAAAACTGCTTTTCAATATAATGTTTTTTAGAGATTCAGCTCCTTATAATGAGCCCCCATGGGACTGATAATTTTAGTTCAAGAAACCAAGCTCAAATTATTCATACTTACACAGCTCTTACACATATCAGTTAAATCCCCTTCTAATTCTTATTTCTATAATAAAACCAGAAGTTCCAAATTTGAGAGTTACTGGAATTTTCAGTTGAACTCTGCAGAATGCAAGTAAAGCAACTTTCAATCCTGTGTATTCTACTTGTAGTATATAAACCTAAAGATTTTCTTTTCTTTTTTTTTCTTTCTTTCTTTTTTTTTTTTTTTTTTTTTTTTTTTTTAGATAATGCCTTTCTTTTTCATCAGCATCCCTTGGGCTAAATAATGAGACTTTCATCCTCCATCCCTAAAACTATTTCGAGCAGCTAGAGTCAAAGTTTACTTCTCTCTTCTACTTACAGTTCTCTGCACTATCCCAGGCTATGTCAAAAGGAGTAGAAAAGTAGAAAAACAGTTCAGCATGGAATATATTTTTACTCAAACAAAACCAGTCCAGGAGGGAAAGGAAGCCAGGCTTATGTAAATAATATATGCTTTATATGTTTCAAAGTCTTGTGTCCTGAGAAGCTGCCCATAGGCCTCTGTATTCCTATCTTAAAGTTGTCTAGTATATTAGGTTATGCAATTGCTTGACTAACAAGTACTCTTACAGAAAATGTAAAACAGAGCCATCTGAGAGCAGGAGTGCTGCTGTTGCTGCTGCTGAATATGATGATAAAAATAATGAGCCATCACTTACTGAGAACGATGTCAATAAATATAGATACTCTCTCTAATCCTCAAAATAACCCTACTAGGTGAAGTCCTAATCCTCGTTTTACTGTTGAAGGACATCAGAGAGGTTAAAGTTATTGTCCACACCTAGTAAGTCAGGCTGATTTATACAAAGCCAGACTTTTCCTATTATACCATGGTACCTACTGCTCCCTAAGTCTGAATCTAAATTTGCATAAGAAATTTGCATGCCAAACAACTTGGCTATCAAGATTCACTCTGTAGATTCCAAGTACCACAACTCACCATTTATTTAGGTGCCCACCCCAGTGAACTGTTTCTGCCTTGCCCAGAATAAACTCTACCTAAGAAAAGTGGTCTCTTTCTCACTGCCAGTAAGTATCAGGTCTTCCTTAACAAAAGCTAAGAGTTCTCAGTGCTTGAAGAGAAACTGCAGCCTAGCAAAAGTCCAAGGTTCCCAGAGATGCAAATCCAAATATTTTGATGTTTAAAGCTTAGTTAAAATTTGTACTGATCATAGTGAAGATGAGCCTTGATTTTAAACATGCAACAGAAATGTGCATTACTAAGTATGTCTCTTAAGTAACTTCACAAAAAAATAAAACAAATGGAAAAAATCCGAGCACATATACGCTTACACAGTCTTACACAAAAATACCCCCCGGTACTTAAAGAGCTAACAAAGTAAATCTGTATTCATCAAATATGAAGTTCAGGAATGTTATTACTCAAGAAGGAACTAGTCAGCCTAAATCTCACTAAACTGTCAGAAAATTATAAAGGATATAATTGCCTTCCAAAGAATTGCTAACAACATTTTATTAGCCAATTTCTAAGGCTTTTAAAATGTTAATCTAAATATGCTTGCTCCTCATTTCTCTATAGATAGATTATTCGGTAAACAGAAGAATTAACAGTTACTTTTAATGGCAGTGTTTGCCGAACTCACCAACCTACAAGAAAATGATATTATCTTGGAATAGCTAATCACTTCATAACATCTCATAATCATAGACTGTGTTCTCAAAGTAGTTGCTATTCCTGTAAGTGGACTTTCCCTTCATAATTCTGCTCTGCATACTTGGAAGACTGATTTGAGCAGGCATCTTTCTCCCTGGAGAATATGTCCCTTAGTTGTTGATGTAAAAATAAAAACCCCACGAGTGGCTTTATGAATCCTGATAAAGCGATTGACTAGTCTAGATACCATGTTTCACTTTCCCTGGGTCAATTTTAAAACACAGGAAAAGAGGTGCTTTCTTTCTCTCTCTCCTTTTTTAAATATAGCAGAGAGTGGGAAAGTTGCAGTGAGACTACGCTAGTACTGTTCTCCATGTTACTCATGGCCCATCGCCAGCTTCTGCGTGTATAAGAATTAAATCACTCAGCAAATATAAAGCTCTGCCTGTGTGACTTCTTTCACAGAATAAAGCCTTTACAACACCCCCTTTCATGGTCTCCCTCTGTTAAAGACTGTTGAATGCTTTTTGAAGCAAAGGTCAATGATATAAATGCAATGAAATCAAAGACAGGAAAAAAAAGTCCTGTTAACAGACCACTTATGCTTATCCATAGATTTGAAGTGAAAGAACCAAAGACTCATAGCTTCATATCTGGAAAATAAGGGCACAAAACCAGATTTTGAACAGAAGTCAGAAATCTCTACTACTGAGATCAACTCAGATAAACTAAGAATTTGCTCATCTGGTGTCACTTTTTATAGACATGAGTTAGTTACTAGCAACGTACTACTATAGTATAGAGAATTATATCAGAAAGAAGAACATAGAGTTATTTTTAAAGGAAGCACAAGCATTGGGAAACTAAGCCATACTGAGTATAACTAAGTATATACTATACATTTCTTAAATTATCCCAAATAGGATTCTCAGATTTTCTTAGAGTGTCAGGTGCTTAGTTACAGAATTTATTGCACTCCTAAGTATGAACCATTATTATAAGGTTTGATCACTTGAAAATGATCTCTTAAGGGGTATTTGGCTGGCTTAGTCAGAAGAGCATGCGACTCTTGATCTCTAGGCCATGAGTTCAAGCCCCACACTGGGTGTAGAGATTACTTAAATAAATAAAACTTTAAAAAACCTATCTCTTAAAACATGAATAATATATATTTTTGACATGAAGTCATTAATTTTTCAAAAGGGAATTCAATGGTGTACCACATTTCAAGATATGGTACGTATTTATGTCATACAAGTACTAAACAAAATGTCTTTAAAGGTTCTGGTCTGTTTAAGACAAATAGATGGAGAATCTCCAAAATGTCCATTATTTTATAACAGCATTGACTAGGGTGAGAAGGGCAGAACACAGGAAGGAAGGTATCAGGGTCTATGGAAAATTCATAGCCTAAGAAGACAGAGAGCTTGGTTCATATTCCAGCTCTGCTATTAACTAGGTGGGACCACGTGCTTATTCAATCTTAGACTCAGTATTCTCATTTGTAAACTGAAGATAATTATACCAAACTTTGTAGGGTTACTGTGAAAATCAAAGATTATATACCAAGGGTACTCAGCATAGCATCTGGTATGTAATCAATACTCAAGAATCAAAGAACTATGAAGGTGATGACAGTAATCCTAGATCTTGAATTTTTCCTAAGAATTATAAAGAAAATGGGTTGGACTCTCTAACAGGTAAAGGCAAACAAGGCTAAGTTACTTTTAAAATTCTGTTAATAAACCTAGAGAAACTGTAAGAATTTATGGGGGTAATTGCTAGTTTGGAGCAAAAAGGTGGCTAGGAAAAAAGAGCACATTGTGAAAAAGCACAGTAGAAATGGTTTGGGGAAAGAAAATTCTAAAACCGAGAAGGGAGGGGCACCTGGGAAGCTCAGCTGGTTAAGCATCTGACTTCAGCTGGGGTCCTGACCTCAGAGTCCTCTTGGAGTCCTGGGATTGAGCCCTGCATTGGACTCCATGCTTAGTGGGAGAGAGCTTATCCCTCACCGTCCCCTTCTGCCCCCACCCTCCACTCATGGGCGTTCACTCTCTCTCAAATGAATGAATAAAATCTTTTAAAAATTTTTTCAAAAATAATAAAATTGAAAAGGGAAAGCATCTGAAAAAGCCTACATAAGGCAGGACTTAAATCAGTGAGACTTGATGTGTTTTTGTACAAACTAGCTAATTGCTTTTAATTTTTTTCTAAGTTGTCAAATCTCTCAGCAAGTTTTGTGTTATCAAAAAC